CGCATTTCTAGGGCCCAAGGCGGATTTTCCGCCGACGCCGAAGCGCCTGTGCACAGGCGAACGCCTGTGCGTAGGCGGACTTCGCGCCTCCCCAAACCCTACTTCGCCTGTGCACAGGCGAACGCCTTCGTCCGCGCATAGGACAAAACTTGATTCCCCCTTCCGCGTAGGCGGAATTCCCGCCGGTGGCGAACTCCTTCCGCCGAAGGCGACCGTCTCCGTATCTTCCAATAGTGATAACTCCCTAAGTCCTCATCCGTTCCAAGCGTTCTTGGACTCGTTGGAATCAGTGCGTCGAGCTCTTTCCAACGGGACCCTAACTTGGTCAAGGCGCCCGAGGGTTGACCTAATTATGGAGGATTTCCCTACCGCCGCGGACGCAACCTCCGAAGGCGGGTTTTGCGCCTTGCGTCGTAGGGGTCCTAACTGCAGAGCTCGCAGGGAGGGTGGTGCCTGTCCTTACTGCTGCACCCCAAATCCTAGATTCTACAAGATCCCTCGAGAATCCCCGCGATCTTCCGGATTCACTCCGTTTTGATGTACCGAAGGCTATTTACAATGCTGCCAGGGTACAGTTTTCCAAAAATGTTTTAATTTCCTCAAAATTGCCAAAAGTGGGGTACCACAAGGAGAAGAAAAGACTGCGCTCCAGTCTCATTCTCTCATTCTTGATTTTGCGATTTCCAGCTTCCAAGATTACGCGCAAGGGCGGAGAGACCTGCAGTGAGAGGAAAGAGTGCGGAGGCGAGTTGCGCAAGGATCTTGATAGACCTTGGAGAGAATTGCGAGTAGCGAACTTGAGCGTGAGCGAAGAGAGAGTGAGCAGTCAGTGCTTGAGCGGCCGACGCGCAGTGGCGATTGTGAGAGAGCGAGCGAAAGGGAGAACATTTGTGTGTGCAGGAAATGCAATGTCGAAGGTTCCCCAGCTGCGAGTGTCTCCCCTCAGGGTGCCGCAGATCGGTCTACGCGCATTTCAAGATGTGCTGCTGGGGCTGAAGCTCGATTTTCTCCTGTGGGGGTGGAACTACACATGTCCGGAGATGGTGCGCGAGTATCTGCAGGAGAGACACAAGCCCTCACGCGGATTCCGTCCACATCCTGAAAGATGGGACATTTGTGACTGGGCGCAGGTGTTGGGCAGGTGTGCCGGCGAGGAAGGGTATCTCCTCTTCGAGGCCGATAGCGTGAAGGTGTCCCAGGAGGAAGAAATCTCCTACAATGAGCTTTTCAAAGTTGCCAGGCATCCCAAGAACGATTTCCGGACACGGGATTACAAAGATCGATTGCGGAGAAATGTCGCGACTGCATTGCTGCAGATATTGCAGCCGACCAAGACCGCTTACATGCATGGTTGGCAGGTAGGATTTGTGGAGCTAGTGTTGTCAGGAGCTCCAGTGCATTGGGCACGGCTCCTGTGGAAGGTGACGCGCCAACATGCGCAAGAAGAAAGAGGAGGAACCCTTAATCATCTTTCGCCTTACCTGATTGTGTTTTATCGGTCGATGGGATGTTTGACAAATTCAGAGCGGACACGGTTTCCGCTGCTGACACGGAGCTATCCAGGTAGATACTCACGGGAGGCCGAAGTAGACACGGATCCGGACGAGGAACCTGCCAGCCCGCCTCCGGCTCCGGCCCTAGCAAGAGCAGCAGAAGAACGTCGAAGTGAGCGCATTCCGCGAAAGCGGAAGTGGGATGAGGGACCTGAGGACAGGCAGCCGGAAGTGCCAGCTGCGCCAACTCGTGGTCGGCCCACCCACGAGCCTCACAGTCGACCAAAACAGAGAGCACGCAAAATGCCAACTAGTACTGAGGAGACCGGGCGTACTCCGGTCCGGCGGAATCCCACGCAGGAGGAGATAATCGCGTAGATTCTAGGGAAGTCGACAAATACCTCTACGCAGAAGGCACCAATGCCTTCGGAAGGAGATGGGCGGACTGACAGTCGGCCGACTACGAGTCGGGCGGCTGAAGGTCGACAAACGGAAGGAAGGCCGACTGAGCGGGGCGTTGAACCGGACAGCAGGCCAGAAGCAGAAGGGAGTTTGGCTGACGAGCCAACAACCCTCAGAGGGGTCGTCTTCGGCGGAAGGCACTTCTGGGAAAACGCCACCAGCAAGCAGGCCAAGTGGAGTGAAGACGCGCAGGGTGTATCCGACTCCCAGTCGGACAACTGCTAGTCGGCCGACTGCGAGTCGGTCAACAGAGAGTCGGCCGGATTCGCCGACTGCGAGACGGACAGGGCCGGCGACGAGTGTGGAGACGCCTTCGGCGGACGCACCTTCAGCGAAGACACCTTCCGCGCAGATTGCGCCGGAAGGGCAGGCAGCAGAAGCGGGCGGTGCAAGGGTGACAAAAGTCACTGCGGCGTCGACCCCTTCGGAAACCGAAGATCGAGCCGGAACAGGGGCTCAAGCAGTGGGATCCCCCACTGCCTTGGATATTTTAGCAGGCAGTGGAGCGGCAGTCGCAGCGGAAGCTGCTGCGCGCCACAGTTCCAGGGAGTCGCCAAGGGATTCAGTGGCGACTGAAATCCTCGAGACTCAGGATGAGACGAGCTCGGAAGAGCAGGAAGCGGACTCTGTGCAGAAAACGCCAACAGGGGTGTTGTGCAAGCAGATAGTCCCTCTCGTGCGCTATCTGGATCGCAAGACATCCAAGTACTCGGGTACTGGAAAACCGCAGTCTTATGTGGAGACTGTCAAGCGCAGGACGAGGAGCAAGGTGGCCACTTGGGCCTCTAGGTGCCAAGTATTGCAGGATAGGAACACCGCCCTCCGACAACACCTGGCGGTCACACAGAAGCTATACCAAGCCTTGCAGCAGCAGAGGGAGGACGCGGCGACGAAAAGCCAGGCGGAGGCCGAGCTAATGCGGGCAAAGATCGAGTCGGAATTGCAGGAAGAGCGGAGACAAAACCGCATCCTAGCAGCAGAGCTTGCGCGCCAGACGCGCGCCTTAGAAGAAAGTCAAAGAGCCCGCAAGGAGGATGAGGAGTTGTTGCGCAACTTGCAATCCGAGTGCTCGGATTTGCGGGCGCAGCGTGCGGAAGCGGAAATGCAGCTAGCAGAGGTGGAAGGCAGCTGCCGGGCGCGAGAAGAGTTGGCGACGCGGGTGACTCACTGTCTAAAAGGATACGCCCATTGGGAGGTGGCAGCTCAAGAGAGGATCACACGCAGGGAGTTCGAGCTTTGAGCGGCGGCATTGACGGAGGGTGACAGTCGGAGTCGGCGGCGAGTGGCGAGGAAATTAGAAACCTTCTTGTCGGGTGCGCGCGACACTATGGCGCACCTAGAGTCGGAAGTCACTGCAGCCCTCCGACGCCTGGGATTGCGCAGCCGGTCGGAAGACTGGCAAGGTAGAGACAGCGAGCGGAGCAGTCCGGCGCGCAGGAGGCGCAGCACCGGATCCGCCGAGTGCAGTAGTATAGTTTGGTTTCGCGCAGATGTTGCGAGTAGTAGATAGCATAGCGTAGTGTTAGTTAGGACCTTTGAGGGTATAAAGTAGATCAAGGCGTTTTGCCTTGGGACTCTTCCAGTTTCGGAAGTGCAGATCAGGAACTCACTTTCTTGGCGTGTTCGTGCATTTTGGTCTTGGCACCACGTAGAGAAGCTGCAGCATAGCGAAGTTACCGTATGTTGTAGTTGAAGGCCTTCGGCTGAATGTTCAGAGCTAGTACCCGGTTAGAGACTTGAGTAGTGCGGATCTGCACCTGCGGGTGATTTCTGATGCTCAGAGCCGACTGCGAGTTAGAGACTTGAACAGTTTCCCCTTACTCCTTCGAGTGACATATCCTGATTGTACTCCTACGGGAAGTTTCCCCTGAATGCCAATGTGAAGTTTTATTACTTCGTGTAAGCCTTGGTTTGCAATTCAGGTTGTGTGTGTGTTACTGGATCGTGTCTCAGTTAAGTTCTCAGGCGGGCCTGCACTCCCTGCGTTGGGTGTGAGAGTCGAGGGTGACGTCCACGGCGTATGAAGAGGCTTCGTTCCGAAGTGGGAAGTCCAGTCCGGGTACCCTACGCTAGTTCCTGGCGGAAGGGCAGTAAAAGCCGGAGTGGGAGTCACTACCTGCAGAACCTCTGAGTGAACTTTTGAGACACTTTCCTCCTGAAATTCGAAGCGGAGGTCCTGACCGACCTCCGAGTTGTGCTTTTGCCAGTTTCAGGTGTGTGTGTGTGTGTGTGTGTGTGTTGAGTGACCACGCTGTACCGTGCATCCTCCGAGTCGAGATCCTCCTCCGAGTCGAGCCTCCGAGTCGAGCACTGCAGTATTTCTGGGAGTGACAGTCGCCTAGAATTCAAACTCTACAAAAGTCTGTTAAACGTGACACTTTTACTCTGTGTGTTGCCTCTGTCCCTGTGGGTTCGATCTTTTTACCACCATACTGCAGTTTTAGCCTTTGGTGGGTTATTACACTGCTGGTCTACTTTCGGTGCTTCTGTTCATCTCAACAGTAGCGATCCTTCAGGTACAGGTGTCCTTGAGTTGCGTTACTTAATATTCAGTACTTCTCATTGTACCGGTAAAGGATATCATTTTCTAGTTACAAGAAGCCTTCGGTAGAAATCAGAAAATGAGGATGACCTCTAAAACATTTAGCTTCTAGCCTGATTCTCAGGTATCGAAGCGATCATGAAAAGGGTTGTCAGGTAAAGATAAGCCCTCGAGGGAAGGAGGAGCAACCAAGTATACAATAGCATGAACGCTCCTCTGATAAGCAACATCGACTGACCTGCATGAAGATTTCGGAGACAAAGTCGAAATGTAACTGGGACTGGAAGTAAGGAAGAATCGCGAGGCTGAGAAGAGTAGCAGTTTAACATAATCCTTGGGTTTTATTTGCCACGAGCACTAACCAGCTTAATTCCTCGAGGGGCAGTACGCTACCGTGGATTTGGCAGCGACGGTCCATGTCTCCACCGAACAATCTGCAGATCGTAGAAAACCATAAAGTTTGTGAGTTTAGACATCTCACATGAGCCTACGACAAACCAGACGCCTGAGGTGTCCGCGATGTCCGTCGTGTGTACAAGATATATCTCTGACTCCCTACTGTCGAGATTACAATTGGCACTCAAGCCACACCTCCGAACTCAGTCCAGAGATCCTTGAGTCCACTCTCGGAACGGCTGCTCCAGCCATCACGACCCTATCAATATTACAAAATGTATGTCTTCTGATAAATTGCGCTTTTCTTCACAAACCTAAGTCTACTGAAGGAATCATAAAAGGAGCCAGAATTTGAACTGCGATAAGATAAATATTGATTGGAGGACTGACAGGCCCTTTTCTTGACAAAATGTCACACATCCTTCCGTCCTAATTACCGCTCCAAGTTGCAACTTTACATTCTATACTTCTAAACCTCGTTAATGTTCCTAAGTCCCTAACGGGCTGCTAGATCAGCTCTGTTGACTTTGCAGGCTGTCAGTAAACTCTGCAATAACTTCAGGGGAAACGTTTTCCTCTGGTTCCCAAGTCTCTGCCTCATCTGTCCACTGTTGCGGACTCGACTCCTGAGGCACCTTCTGAATGGCATCTTCGAGGACTTTGGTCAACTCTTTCGCGTACTTCCCGTCCTCTCTCAACTCCTGAGGCACCTTCTGATTGGCATCTTCGAGGACTTTGGTCAACTCTTTCGCGTACTTCCCGTCCTGCTCGGCCAAGAACATGTGAGCTAGACCTGTGGCGCCTGCTCGACCAGTTCTTCCAATCCGATGGACGTAATCCTCCACTCCGATGGGAAAGTCATAATTTATAACCACCCTGATGTCTTTGATGTCCAGTCCTCGCTACTACATCTGTGGCGACTAATACAGGAGACTTTTTGATATTAAACTGAGAAAGAACCATTTCACCTGTGAGTTGTCACCAAGGATGGCTGCTGCACCAAAGTCACGACCTAAACTACGTGCAAGTTGATCACACATGCGTTTTGTAGAATAAAAAACAATCATATCCGAGCCTGGTTCTTGACTCCGAAAAATCTGCTCCAACCTCCTTTGCTTCTCAAAGGGTGAAACAACTTCTACATGCTGAGTGATCGACTTGTTGGCCGACAAATCATCCGTATTTCCGATGTTGACCTGCACGGGGCTCACAAGCAAATTCCCAGCCGATTTTTCGAACTTCCTTAGGCCCTGTGGCAGTATACGTAAGTGTTTGTCTTCTAGCCGGGATTTCATTCACGATCTTTCTGACTTGAGGCTCAAAACCCATATCCAGCATCCGATCTGCTTCGTCTAGGACCGGGTATGTCACTTGTCGTAGACTGATTTCTTTCAATTCCAAAAAATCATTCAGTCGCCCCGGAGTGGCGATAACAATATCTGCTCCTTGCTCGATATCCCGCTTCACTGCCTGCCACAGAAATCTTTGCGTATGATGAAAAGTCCCCGTCAATACACTTTTGAACTTCCCGAGTCTCTACCAGACTCGGGAAGTCCATTCTCGAAGCTTTTCGATCTGAGGTATCGTCGCTTGTAAGTTTTGAAACATTGTGCCGATAAAATCGTCGTGACAGTAGTATCATTATGGAAACAGTGTTAAACGTATACTCTTTCGCAGCATGCAGAGGGCCCAAAGGACCAAAGATGAAGAGCAGCGGCTAGAGGGGAGAATTGTCTTGCCTTTACAAACACTCCAGCGACCGGCCGGTCTCGGAGCTACCCATGGGTCTGGTCTGGGTCTTGATTCCAAGAACAGTGCCTGGTTCTAGCGACGCAGATGTGCTTCGTCTATTAGCAGTGCTGCAGCAGTATATGTCAACGATCATTGACATGTTCATCTCAGGTATCAGGACTAAAACCAACTTTGGAGAGACGTTGTCCTGAATGACAGTCTCTCTTTATTTCCTTCGTGCTCTGTAAGTACTGCTTTCTACCATCCTAAGCTCGAGGGGTGAGTGGTCATAACGACAAAGTGGCAGTGGCAGAGCAAGAGAGGCTTTACTTGTCAAGAGTACGTCAAACTTCACAGTTGGAATTTTAATGTTACGGAAGTGATCTGGAAGCAATCATCCAATGTTAAAACAGAATCATTATATCCAATAGCGAGTTCCAAAATTACGTGTAAATTTTCTCATTGTTAGAGTACTTTTAAATCTATTTCTCCTTATACATATATACAAGAAAACATTGTCTTGTTTGTTTTATACAAAAAACGATTTATGTCTCCTCATTGATATATTCGAAAAATATAATTTGTGTCCAATCGCATAAGTTGATAAAAGATGAATATTTGGTATCGCAGGTTTGAATTTCTTGCAAATGATGCATCGCGCCAGGTGATTTATGCCTAACACTTTTCCAATGAACGGCAGTGAATTCATGGTAATTTTTTTCTCATTTTTTTTAATGCATTAATCGAAAAGATGGAAGCCAAGAGCATAGCAAAATAGAAAAGTATGTTAAGGAGTTTGAATATTGTATGAGGCCAAAATTTGATATTGATATAAAAACCAGGTCATAGAGCTGCAAGAGCACACAATCCAAACCCGAATCTGAAGGATACCAATATCAAATAAGATCAAATGAGAGCAAACCCCATAAAACTCACGGAGTATCTCTATGACTAATAATAAAACATATCTTGTATCTATACTGATATGATATGGGACAGTGAAAGACAAAACAATCCCCAAATCGAAAAACTCCGAGAAAAAATTCCCCGACTCTGGTAGAGAGACTCGGGAACGAAAATAAACTAAAGAGAACAACATTTTATTTGTTTTCAACCATATGTGTTTACTTTCAACGTTATACTCGAAATAGATTAACATGAAACTGTTCCGGGTCGGAGTTGATATCTGAAACATATGTAATACCTTCATCTGATCCGAGATACCTCAAATATTCAGAAACCTTCAATCTTGTCATGGTCCGTTCCTCCAGCACTTGTTATTCCAGTACAATATAACGTTCCATTTTTCAGTACATAGAGATTGGAATTGGAATCATGGACTTAGGTTAAATTTCATTATGTTAATCATTACACACTGCACTTTTCATATTGCCTAGAATACGTGCAATTTCACTGAGACTAATAGTCTCACACTGAGAATAAGTCATTGGTCAGGAGGCCAGAACCTCCACCCAGTGCGGGGGTCTGTCAAAGGTTACCATACCAAATTACTACCATGCAATTGGAAGGGTGGAACTTTGATTCCGTCAATGACGTCTAAAATTCATTCTCACTCTCTCGAAGTGAAGCAAGTGCATATCAGAACACTTTTGAGACACACACATGGGTCCGAGGAGATCAGGCTCAACTGCGAGAGAGCTCTTCAGGTCCAGACTTTGAATCCCTCCTATCAAGTTATTTCTATCAATGTAATCACTGACATGAATTCATCTCCTATTTTCAAAAAAATTGTGGCTTTTGTCTTTAAAAGAAGGCTATACATCAGCACCAATTTGAAAATTGATGCACATATTTTTAAAGCCTAGACGTCATAATAAAATAATTACACATCACATCACTGTCGACGCATACACATGAGTTCGACGGCATCAAGCTCAACTGCAGAGCTCTTCAGGCTCAGATGTCACAAAAATTGTTTTCTGCCGTTCGACAAATGAATATGACTTTGGATAAAAATCGCGAGCTTCAAGTAAGAGGACGGAATCAAGAAACGAAAGTCGTTCTGCCAGCACAGTGACCGGTGGACTTTAATAAAAGGCGATGTTGTTGCCTTCGATGAAGTTGAGCTGCACAAATATTAGCTCTAGATTACGGATAGAGAATATGGAGCTCAAACATTAGATGCTTGAACTTGCAAATTGATGTATTTGAGCAGAAGTCTTCATTTATTGCAGCTCCAAAAGCAAGGATGGCTGTGACACACATTGTCGTGAATAACATCGAAGCAGAGAGTCAAGGAGGAGGAAGACGCAAAGATTCTGATTGTTCTCTTGTTCGAAGTGTTTAATGCAAGGTTTGCGTATATCTTTTCCGATAGATTTAATGTTTAAAATGGATTCAGCGAGATTCTTTTTTAAAAACTGGCAAATCAAAGTTATACTTCCGACACCAAATCAGGCTATGGTTATACTTTCAAAACATATGAATATCTCTTATCAAGTTATTTGTATCATTGTAATCACTAACATGAATTCATCTCCTCCTAACAAACAAACTTAGTCGAGCACCGTCTGCGCTTGGATATAGACAATATTTTTTGTATATATCCCTGAAGAGAAAAAGATTTAAAAGTACTCAATAGTGAAAAAATCCAGAAGTATTTTTAGAAATCGCTATTGGATATGGTGATGCTGTTTTAACACTGAATGACTGCTTCCAGATCACTTCCGTAAGATTAGAATTCCAACTGTGAAGTTTGACCTACTCTTGACAGGTAGAGTCTCTCTTGCTCTGCAACTGCCACTTTGTCGTTATGACCACTCACCCCTCGAGCTTAGGATGGTAGAAAGCAGTACTTACAGAGCAGGAAGGAAATAAAGATCGACTGTCATTCAGGACAATGTCTCTCCAAAGTTGGTTTTAGTCCTGATACCTGAGATGAACATGTCAATGATCATTGACATGTTGTTTATGCATGTGCTACACTGCTGCAGCACTGTTAATAGACGAGCACATCTGCGTCGCTAGAACCAGGCCCTGTTCTTTGAATCGAGAGCCACACCAGACCCATGGTGAGCGACGAGCCCGGAGCTACGAGCTTGAGTGTCTGTAAAAGCAAGACAATTCTCCCGTCTAGCCGCTAGTCTTCGTATTTGGTCCTTCGGGCGCTGTGCGTGTTGCGAAAGAGTAAACGTTTCAACACTGTTTCCATAATGATACTACAGTCACGACGATTTTATCGGCACAATTCTTCAAAACTTAGTTGCGACGATACTTCAGATCGAAAAGCTTCGAGAATGGACTTCCCGAGTCTGGTAGAGAACTCGGGAAGTTCAAAGGCAACGAAAGAGGATTGCCATCTTCCAAGCTTTTTGCTGGTACGAAATGCGACCTTCTTCTCTAATCAATGGATCGAATCAGAGATATTGGGGATCCCGACCGAAACGTCTTTGCGCTGGCAGTCTGTATTCCTGCTGAGCTCATAAAACTAAGGTGTTCATTACGTTGCCCTTAATGCTTAGGATCTTAGACAAGTCCAAAAGCTCGCGGGTACAGTTTATTTTAGTCAATGAACACATCTAAATGGGAAAGCGCTTATTAACTCTTTGTTGACATATCACCACTTGCTTGAGAAACAGCGAATTTGGGCTCTGGGAGCAGCAACTATAAATGCCAGACTTGAGTCCCATCATTCCAACCTCCAATCCCACCTTAACATTGATGTCAAGATGGCGCCGGGTCATTTGATTATACTTCTTGCATGTTTTCTCCTTGGCTCGTCTGCCACGGCTTGCATGAGAGAGAACTGGCCTTCCAAAGCCTCTAGATCGCTCTCGCATCAGTCAACATCTGCCGAGTCTGAGAAAACTTTCATCCAATCTAGCCTTGAAGGCCACCTTCTTTCCGATGAGCGTCTTCGTGAGGCAGAGTTCAAGGAAAAGGACCTAGATCATCCAGACCATCTAGGATTTCATGCCTCAAAGATTCATCCCATTCGAGATGGATTTTTTCATTATCACGAAACCGACTCCAGGTCCCATGGGTTCTCGCACTCATTGTCGTTGCTGGAAGTTAGCTCTGGGTAAGTAAATCACTCCGCCTCCATTTTTCGTTTGATATTTTCTAAGATTGTGACCAAAGTTACCAGAATAATCAAATGAAACCTCGTTTTGCCAGATAATCAGTTCTGCTTCAGATTGAGTTCAGCTGTTAAGTTCCTTTTTCAGGGAAGCTGATGCCCTTCTCGCGTTCAAGGACGGGATCGGAAAATATTCGGAGGGTGCCTTGGATGATTGGACTCCTGGCAAGCGATCAGAGTACTGTTCGTGGACTGGAGTCACTTGCAATAGTCAGCTGCATGTTACTGCTCTCAACTTGTCTTCGCTGGATTTGACTGGCTCGTTGGGCCCTTCCTTGTGCCATCTTACGTACCTGGAAGAGCTCCATCTGAACCTCAACTTTCTGCAAAGCGAGATTCCTCCGGAATTAGGACGGCTCTCGAGGTTACGAATCCTGAACCTGGAAGAAAATTTTCTCCAAGGAAGCATTCCTAAAGAGCTTGGGAATTTGACAGGCCTGCAGATACTGAACCTTGGCTCTCAGGGACGGGGGTTCAATGGAACGATTCCAGAAGAGCTCGGGCAGCTCTCGGAACTACAGTTTCTAAATCTCGGAGGTGTGTATAACTGGGATACGGAGAAAGTCAATTACACGGGCTCTGTTAATCAACTCAGAGGCACCATTCCCAGGTCCCTTGGAAACTGCACAAAGTTGTGGTAC